GGAAGCAGAGCATAAAAGTTTAGAAAAATTGCAGCCTGATGATGCAATACAAAAAAACAAAACAAAACAAAAAAAACATTTTTCTGGGGAAGGAGGTAGAAATTTAAGCCTGCTGCAGAAAGTTGCATAAGTAATGAGGAGTCGAATGTTAATCACCGTGACAATGGGGAAAATATTTCTAGGGCATGTCAGAGACCTTTGTGGCAGCCCCTCCCCTCACAGGTCTGGAGATCTAGGGGGGGAAATGGCTTTGTGGCAGGCCCAGGGCCGCCCTGCTCTATGCAGTCTTGGGACATGGTGCCTTGTGTCTCAGCTGCTTCAGCTCTAGCTATGTCTAAAGGAGGCCAGGTACAGCTCTGGCATTGCTTCAGAGGGTGCAAACCCCAAGCCTTGGCAGCTTACACGTGGTGTTAGGCTGACAGGTGCACAGAAGTCAGGAAGTGAGCTTTTAGAACCTCCACCTAGATTTCAGAGGATATATAGAAATGCCTGGATATCCAGGCAGAAGTTTGCTCCAGGGATGGAGCCCTCATGGAGAACCTCTGCTAGGGTAGTGCAAAGGGAAAATGTGGAGTTGGAGCCCCCACACAGAGACCCCACTGGGGCACTACCTGGTGGAGCTGTGAGAAGACAGCCACCATCCTCCACACCCCAGAATGGTCGATCCACCAGCAGCTTGCACCGTGTGCCTGGAAAAGCAGCAGACCCTCAATACCAGCCTGTGAAAGCACCAGAGAGTGGGACTGTAATTCTGCACAGCCACATGGGCAGAGCTGCCCAAGGCCATGGGAGCCCACCTCTTGCATCAGCGTGACCTGGATGTGCCACATGGAGTAAAAGGAGATCATTTTGGAACTTTAAGGTCTAATGATTGCCCTATTGGATTTTGGACTTGAATGGGATCTGTAGCCCCTTTGTTTTGGCCAATTTCTCCCAGTACCCCCATTGTACCTAAGAAGTAACTAACTTGCTTTTGATTTTATAGACTCATAGGAAGAAGCGACTTTACTTGTCTCAGACATGACTTTGGACTTGGGCTTTTGAGTTAATGCTGGAATTAGTTAAGACTTTGGGGGACTGTTGGAAAGGCATAATTGTGTTTTGAAATGTGAGTACATGAGATTTGGGAGGGGCCAGGGACAGAATGATATTATTTGGCTCTTTGTCCCCACCCAAATCGCAACCTTGAGTTGTAATAATCCCTACATGTCATGGGTGGGACAAGGTATAGGTAATTGGATCTTGTGAGTTAATCTCACAAGATCTAATGGTTTTATAAGTGTCTGGCATTTCCCCTGCTTGCACTCATTCTCTCTCCTGCCACACTGTGAAGAGGTCCCCTCCACCATAATTTTAAGTTTCCTGAGGCCTCCCCAGCCATGTGAAATTAAACCTCTTTCCTTTATAAATTACCCAGACTCAGGTATCTCTTCATAGCTGCATGGAAATAGACTAATACTTCATTCTAATGATAAGATAATAATTTTGACAGTCACTTGAATCAAAATGGAACTACACTTTAAAGGAATTTAGATCTAAGTTTCTAATCAAAAATTTTAAAGGTTATTTTTTGCTTTAATAAAGTTATAACTTCAGTTTTGATTCTTTATAGGATTTTACACAGTAATATTTTACTTCATTACAGTAAGACAATAGATGTAAAGCAGTTAACATATGATAGCTACTCAAATGTTAATGTTCCTTTTCATTTCCTTTTTATTAAAATTTTTCATTACTAAAATTGTTTTCCTTTTAGAAAAGTATAGATACTTGAAATGCTACAGGATATGGTAATATAGACTATCTAAAAATTAAAACTTGAAATCTTTAGTTTTGTTCTTAAAACAACTCAAAAATTGAGAGAAGATATTTTTAAGAAAAGTTACCCTTCCTACATTCAAAGCTAGCAAAGATTACAGAGGAGGTAGAAACAACAGATACTTTTTGATGTGCTGCTGGATCCGGATCAAGTGGGCTTCATCCCTGGGATGCAAGGCTGGTTCAACATACGCAAATCAATAAACGTAATCCAGCATATAAACAGAACCAAAGACGAAAACCACGATTATCTCAATAGATGCAGAAAAGGCCTTTGACAAAATTCAACAGCCCTTCATGCTAAAAACGCTCAATAAATTCAGTATTGATGGAACGTATCTCAAAATAATAAGAGCTATTTATGACAAACCCACAGCCAATATCATACTGAATGGGCAAAAACTGGAAAAATTCCCCTTGAAAACTGGCACAAGACAGGGATGCCCTCTCTCACCACTCCTATTCAACATAGTGTTGGAAGTTCTGGCCAGGGCAATCAGCCAGGAGAAAGAAATCAAGGGTATTCAGTTAGGAAAAGAAGAAGTCAAATTGTCCCTCTTTGCAGATGACATGATTCTATATTTAGAAAACCCCATTGTCTCAGCCCAAAATATCCTTAAGCTAATAAGAAACTTCAGCAAAGTCTCAGGATACAAAATTATTGTGCAAAAATCACAAGCATTCTTATACACCAGTAACAGACAAACAGAGAGCCAAATCATGAATGAACTTCCATTCACAATTGCTTCAAAGAGAATAAAATACCTAGGAATCCAACTTACTAGGAATGTAAAGGACCTCTTCAAGGAGAACTACAAACCACTGCTCAGTGAAATAAAAGAGGACACAAACAAATGGAAGAACATACATGCTGATGGATAGGAAGAATCAATATCGTGAAAATGACCATAATGCCCAAGGTAATTTATAGATTCAATGCCATCCCCATCAAGCTACCAATGAGTTTCTTCACAGAATTGGAAAAAACTGCTTTAAAGTTCATATGGAACCAAAAAAGAGCTCGCATTTCCAAGACAATCCTAAGCCAAAAGAACAAAGCTGGAGGCATCACGCTACCTGACTTCAAACTATACTACAAGGCTACAGTAACCAAAACAGCATGTTACTGGTACCAAAACAGAGATATAGACGAATGGAACAGAACAGAGCCCTCAGAAATAATACCACACATCTACAGCCATCTGATCTTTGATAAACCTGAGAGAAACAAGAAATGGGGAAAGGATTCCCTATTTAATAAATGGTGCTGGGAAAATGGGCTAGCCATAAGTAGAAAGCTGAAACTGGATCCTTTCCTTACTCCTTATACGAAAATTAATTCAAGATGGATTAGAGACTTAAATGTTAGACCTAAAACCATAAAAACCGTAGAAGAAAACCTAGGTAATACCATTCAGGACATAGGCATGGGCAAGGACTTCATGTCTAAAACACCAAAAGCAATGGCAACAAAAGCCAAAATTGACAAATGGGATCTAATTAAACTAAAGAGCTTCTGCACAGCAAAAGAAACTACCATCAGAGTGAACAGGCAACCTACAGAATGGGAGAAAATTTTTGCAATCTACTCATCTGACAAAGGGATAATATCCAGAACCTACAAAGAACTCAAACAAATTTACAAGAAAAAAAACAAACAACCCCATCGAAAAGTGGGCAAAGGATATGAACAGACACTTCTCAAACGAAGACATTCATACAACCAAAAGACACATGAAAAAATGCTCATCATCACTGGCCATCAGAGAAATGCAAATCAAAACCACAATGAGATACCATCTCACACCAGTTAGAATGGCAATCTAACAACAGATGTCAGGAAACAACAGATGCTGGAGAGGATGTGGAGAAATAGAAACACTTTTACACTGTTGGTGGGATTGTAAACTAGTTTAACCATTATGGAAAACAGTATGGCGATTCCTCAAGGATCTAGAACTAGAAGTACCATATGACCCAGCCATCCCATTACTGGGTATATACCCAAAGGATTATAAATGATGTTGCTATAAAGACACATGCACACGTATGTTTATTGTGGCACTATTCACAATAGCAAAGACTTGGAATCAACCCAAATGTCCATCAGTGACAGACTGGATTAAGAAAATGTGGCACATATACACCATGGAATACTATGCAGCCGTAAAAAAGGATGAGTTTGTGTCCTTTGTAGGGATATGGATGCAGCTGGAAACCATCATTCTCAGCAAACTATCACAAGAACAGAAAACCAAACACCGCATGTTCTCACTCATAGGTGGGAACTGAACAATGAGATCACTTGGACTCGGGAAGGGGAACATCATACACCAGGGCCTATCATGGGGAGGGGGGAGAGGGGAGGGATTGCTTGCATTGGGAGTTATACCTGATGTAAATGACGAGATGATGGGTGCTGACGAGTTGATGGGTGCAGCACAGCAACATGGCACAAGTATACATATGTAACAAACCTGCACGTTATCCACATGTACCCTAGAACTTAAAGTATAATAATAAAAAAAAAAAAGAAGAGAAAGCTGTCCAAAAATTTATCCTTAATAAGCTAAGCAAAAAAGGAAAAAAAAAATGAAACAACAGATACTTTAAAATAAAAGTTATCAGAAATAATTATTTTTTTATTAATCTAGTTTATTCTTCTTCAAAATAACACTTTATAGATAAGTTTAAATGTTGGATCTACAGATCCTTCAAATGGACCATGTAAAAAGATAGTATGTATCAGTAACTTATAGATGTAGGTATTAATGTAGTTGGTCATATTTCATTTAAAATTTTTCTGGAGTCTTTTATGTAGGATCACGACTGAAGATAGATTAAATCAACAGTAGATATTAACTCAAACACACAAGTGCATAAAATAAATTTATGTGTTTTCTGATACATGATTCTATGATATGGGCCAGCATTATGAACTGTTGAGAAATGTTACATTTCTATATGATAATGGTTTTTAAAACTTATGCGTATGGCTTTGGTTAATAATGTTAAAAGATGAATATTTGGATCTGTGTTGACTATAAAGATATCTGACTTCACTATGATACAACTTTAGAACAAAAATCCTTTAAAAAATTAATCCCACTTAACCATGTTTGTTTTCATATGGATTTATAGCTTTGTTTCTTCTTTTAAAGTATTTTTATTTTAAATCTTAGCATGCACACCACAGAATCAAAAGATGAACATTTGGAGGATGAAAACTTCCAAACATCTACAACTCCTCAGGTAAAAACTTAAAAGTATATTGTAATATATGACATAAAATCAATCTGATCTTAAAATTTATTTTTAAAGTTTACTTATTAGATAGATTGCTTTTATATTTCTTTTATATATCTGGTTAAAAATGAATAGTGGTAAATTTAAAAATAGCTAGTTATAATAGGTCCTAGAAAATGAGCAGAAATAATGAAACAAATGGAAAGGAGTGCATTTTAGAGCTAAAGAGCACAGATTTTAGGAATAAGGAAAAATGTCACTTATTACTTCTTGCCACATTCAGGGAAAACTCAGTAACTTAAACGGAGGCAAAGACAAGTCTAGATTAATTAAAATGTTGTGCTGTGTATTCTGAAGAGACTCAAGTTTTTCATTTTTATATTTATATAGAGCAAGTCATTAGACCTTCTGTTGATCTGGTTTTACTTAGTAATAATTGCTTATAATTAGAATTGTAAATTTCATATTTTTAAAAAATACAGATTTCGATAGTTCTTAATGGTCAAAAAGTTGTTTTTAAAAATATTTTAAATATTCACCATTTATTCTAATTATCTATGAAGAAGTCATCTTAGTCTATATCAGTTTATTACTAATTCTAAAATAATAAAACTTAAAATAATATGGTTTTACTATATATGACCTTTCACTCACCTTAATAAAAATTCACCATTGTGTCTATGTGGTAACAGAATTTTTAGAAACAACCTCTATACCAGAACTCCAATAGGTTAATTATGATCAGATTTGAAGAACTTTGATCTTAAAGAGCTACATAATTCATTTTTAGCCATCAGCTGCTCTGACATCTCTGTCTCCTTAGTGATTACATGTAAAATTCCCTTCCTCAATGTGTCCATGCCCTCTAGCCTTTTTATTGTTTCCTATGATGATGTGATGTTCCCTCTTTCACTCACTCAAAGTATTATCAAGTCACTCAAATTGCTGGCACACACATACCCACACCCACCCACCCATGACAATCATAAGGCAAATTTGGGAGATTTCTATTGCAGAGTTAACTCTACTCTGGTGTTTTATTGTTGTCATCATTGTTTATGGTTTGTTTTTTACATTGGAAGAAGTTTCTCAATATTCTCACAAATCAAAGATTCCTGTTTTTTCCAAATCAGCAGTTTCATAATTAGGTTACCATTAAAAGGCCTGGGAGATTAAGGTATACCCTTGCACTATTTAATATGTTATCTATAAATATTAGTGGAAGCATGCCTGAATTTCTGAAGTCTTGACCTATGTTTTTCTCATTTTTCTTTCAGTTATATAAATTTATCAAATGAGATGAATCCAAGTAAAATTATATTTCACCTCCTTTCTAATTGAGTTGTATTTTCATTTCACAAAAGTTTTGGTGAATAATCTTTGGGATGTGTATAGAGGATGGACCAAACTGTAGGCACCTTTATTCAGTATACACAAATGACTGAAAATGATGGGGACACAAGTCTATAAAAGGTTAAATCAAGGTACCCTGCAAAATATACTGCTGTTACATCCCCAAATAGCTATTGATATGGAGCATGAATCTTCTTTTCTATCTGTGATTCCTCGCATTGACAGTGATAATATAAATTTAATTCCAAACTTTGGTGGTTTAGTACATTCATAAAATTATACAAAAAGTATAGCTCCTTAAAGATTTTCTTGTTTTACTACAGAGTCTCATTGATCCTAACAGTACTGCACATGAAGAAACTAAAACTGTCATATCAGATACAGAAGAAATAAAACCACAGACAAAAAAGAAGACATACATTTCTTGTCCTCTAAGAGGAGCATTGAATAGAATTATTACAAATGGTATGTGAAACAAGAAAATGTAAATGAAGAGAAAATGATAAATATGTTTGATAAATATTAAAACACGAGATAACAAAGACACTACTTAATCGATATACTCTAGATGAGATGATCAGCTCTGTTACAAGCAATATGTGAACAAAGAGGAAATATTTTCTTGAATCTTTCAAAGACAAAAACAAACACAGAATATTGCCTAGGAAGTGTATGTTTTAATATTTGTCATACTTTTTTATGTTAAATTTTTGGGATTAGAAACATCATTGATTAAAGGGTTTTATTTAAAACCTACTTTGACATTTACTTTTAAGTTAGCTAGAAAGAACATTATAATTTTGGAAATATTATGTTTTTTATTAAAATTGGGCCCTAAGTTTTAAAACAACTGCAACCTCGTAAAAAGTTGTATGTTACTTGCTTTCCCACTACAATTTTAAAGCATATTGTTGTTGTCAGCAAATACTTACAAAAGAGATATTCTTGTGGTTTTTTTTTCTAAATATTCTGTTTGATTAAACCTATGAGAGAAAGATATTTTGGCTTCAAGAAGTATACAGAATTTTGTTCTCTATAGAGAACAAAAAATTGATTAAAAATGATGAAGCACAAGTAATTGAAGTTTTAAACTTTTATTTTCTTATTTGCTGATTGCTAACTTTAAACTTTTGAAGCAAATTTTATTCATTGATTTTTTCATTAGTAAAGGTTGCTTTTTAATTTATATCAATATATTGATGGCCTTGAATCAAAGTTTCTGTGAGCTTGAATAGTCCTCATCGCCAGTGTAAGTGATGGAACTCCTTCGTAAGTACACATGTTCCCATGACCTGGTCTATTTAGTAGGCAATTTCTACACAGCAGTTACTAGGAGTAGGGCCAGGGCCTGTGGAAGAGAGGGAAATGTATTAGTTACCAAATATTATTCACTGATTGTGGATTGCAGTTCGCTCAGGAGCTAATAGAGGAGTTCTAGAACATCAGAACTGAAACTTTAGGTTTAGATATAACTCATTTCCCCCTTTGTTTTCTTTCATTTTTGATTTTGCAGTTTTGGAGACATTTATAGGAAAAGGAGATTTTCTTTGTTTCTATTTGGGGGTGCATATTCTTGCACTCTCTTTTTTGAAATCAGTCTCTCTCTGTCTCTCTCTCTCTCTCAACCCACTCCCTACATTCACACTGTATCTTTTATACACAAAGTATAGAATCTCAACCTCCGGGTATGCTTAGAACATGTCACTGCTAGGAATCCCACTCTCCCGCATCATGGAATAAGTAATGTACAACCATGTGTAAGTAGAATGAAACAACAAAATAATTTCTTAAAACTGCATAGAGTTTGGATAATAAAAGGAAATAGAACAACATGTTTTTCTGTAAATAATAGTTAATTTACCAATACCACAATGCATACAAGTTAAATTTAAATAAGAAATCTAAACTCTCAAATGCACACAGAAATCAGTCTAATCACATTGAATCATACTGTTTACATACCTTATTTGGAGAATGGCTTGCTTCATCCCAAATAAATGGATAGTCTAGGACAGTAGATTTAGAGCTTAAGTTATTATTCCTTTTTGTTTCTTTTCAACCTACTTTTAACAAAAATGCTAATATATTTTATGAAGCTTTTTTTTCTTTAAATAAATTAAAGTTTTCTTATATGTCCAACTATGATTTTTAAGTAATCTTGGGGACAGAACTTCTCCATTAAAATTTTATTATCAGTTTTATGAAATTAGCAGTCTTGGAAGTTTAAGGTTCAAAAATAATATCCCAGAAACTTCCAGTTTCCAGTTCTACATGTAAGGAGATTAGAAGTCATCACTGTGTCCTAAAAACAAATAAAAAGCTGAAGAAACTGAAAAATGAACAACTCTTCTTAAATCCATCAGAAAAGTGAGTCACAGGGCAAACTGCTGCCCCAAAAATAAGAGTGATTAGACCGACAGATTCAGACAATCATAACTTACAGGAATGAAAACCTCTTTGGGAACTAGGATCAGGGTACAAAAACCTGAACTGTAATTTAAAACTTGGCTGAAGCTCTGTGTGGAAAAGTCAAGAGTTAAAAACTCCAGGAGGGCCCCAGTTATGGGATGGGAGAGGCCCACACTTTTTTAAGTTTTACCTTCTGCAACCAACCAGCAGGGGAAGAGGGAAGTATCAAGGAAGAGAGAGGGTAACCATTGTGAAATATACCACAAGAAGCATTCTGTTCTTCTTACAAAGTCTGGCCCCCGCATCCCTCCCAAAGAAAAGGCTGGGTGCCGTGGCTCACTCCTATAATCCCAGCACTTTGGGAGGCCAAGGTAGGCAGATCACGAGATCAGGAGATCGAGACCATCCTGGCTAACACGGTGAAACCCGGTCTCTACTAAAAATACAAAAATTAGCTGGGCATGGCGGCGGATGCCTGTAGTCCCAGCTACTAGGGAGGCTGAGACAGGAGAACGGCGTGAACCCAGGAGGAGGAGCTTGCAGTGACCACTGCACTCCAGCCTGGGTGACAGAGTGAGATCCATCTCAAAAAAAAAAAAAAATTTTTATCAGAGCCTAACCTATACATGTTTTTATCAGAGCCTAACCAACTTAGATCTGATGGATCTAAGAAGAGTTGTTGATTTTTCAGTTTCTTCAGCTTTTTATTTGTTTTTAGGACAGAGTGATGACTTCTAATATCCTTACATGTAGAATTGGAGACTGGAAGTCTCTGGGATGTTATTTTTGAACTAAACTTGCAAGACTGCTAACTTCGTAAAAACTGATAGTAAGATTTTAATGGATAAGTTCTGTTCCCAACTCTAGTCAGCCTTCTCTAGCCTTCCACATAGTTGAAGGGAAATATCGAACTCTAGCCCCCTCTAACCATCCTGTACCAACTAAGGGAGTGGAAAAAAACTGAAAAGCATTTTTGACATTCATAGCTCAGAGGCACAGGCCTACTAAAAGACTGAGATCTAGTGATAGAACTATAGAATGTCCCCTCCCCCTGCCGCAAACACACACAGCTTATCACCACATTACTAAAGTCTTACTTACCACAGGTCCTTTTATTCAGTACATCATGTTCATCTTTCAACTAAAATTTACAAGGTGTATTAAAAGGCAAAAAAACACAGTTTAAAGAAATGGAGCAAACGTCAGAACCAGACTCATACGGAAGGTATGTTGGAATTATCAGACCGTGAATTTAAAACAATTATATTAAATATGCTAAGATCTCTAATGGAAAAAAATAGAAAACATGTAAGAACAGATGAGTATTATATATAGGATGAAAATTGTAAGAAGGAAATGCCAGATATCAAAAACACTGTAACAAATAAAGAATGCCTTTGATGGGCTTATTAGTAGGCTGGACAAAACTGAGAAAGTATCTCCAGGCTTGAGAATATGCCAGTAGAAACTTCTAAAACTGAAAAAGCAAAAAGAAAAAAATACTGAACAACAATGGAACAGAATATCCAAGAATTGTGGGGTCACTACAAAAGGTGTAACATACATGAAATGGGAATACCACAAGGAAAAGGAAGACAGAAAGGAACAGAAGACATATTTGAAGCCATAATGACTAGGAATTTCCGCAAATGAATGTCAAGCACCAAGTCACAGATTCTGGAAGCCCAGAGAAGACCAAACAGGGTAAATGTTCAAACAAACTACACCTAGGCATATCATATTCAAACTTCAGAAAAATCAAAGATAAAGAAAAAAATATTGAAAGAAGACAGAGGAAAAATGACCTATAAAGGAGCAAAGGTAAGAATTACATCCAACTTCTCATCGGAAACCATGGAAGCAAGAATAGAGTGGCATGAAATATTTAAAATGTTGAGAAAGAGAAAAAACAAAAGCAAAAAACACCAGCCTTAGAATTCTGTATCCTGTGAAACCATCCTTGAAAAGTGAAGGAGAAATAAAGACTTTCACAGATAAACAAAAATTGAAGAACTTTTGTGCCAGTTGACTTGGCTTGCAAGAGATGTTAAAAGATGGTCTTCAGAGAGAAGGAAAATGATATAGGTCAGAAACTCACATCTATTTAAAAAAGGAAGAATATTTGAAAGGAAATACACAAGGGTAAAATCTTTTTTAAATTCTTAATTTATCTAATAGATAACAATTTGTTCAAATTAATAATAGCAATAATGTATTTATGACTATAGCTTATGTGTAAAGGAAATGAATGAGAGTAATACAAGAAATGGGAGGGAGGAATTAGAAATATTATTATAAAGTGTTTGCTCTACATATAAAGCCATATAGTATTATTTGAAAGTGGACTTTGACTGGGCACAGTGGCTCACACCTGTAATCCTAGCACTTTGGGAGGTTGAGGTGGATGGATCACTTGAGGTCAGGAGTTCGAGACCAGGCTGGCCAACATGATGAAACCTGTCTCTATTAAAAATACAAAAAATTAGCCGGCATGGTGGCAGACACCCGTAATCCAAGCTACTCAAGAAACGGAGGCAGGAGAATCATTTGAACTCAGAAGATGGAGGTTGCAGTGAGCCGAAATTGCACCTAGGCTGCACTCCAGCACTCCAGCCTAGACAAAAGAAGGAAAAAAAGAAAAGAAAAGAAAGTAGATTTGTATTACTTGTAAATGCATGTTGTAAACTCTCAGGCAACCATTACAAAAATTTATAAAGAAGTATAATTGATATGCTAACAGAAAATTGAATCATATAAAATGCTCAATTAAAACCACAAAAGGCAGGAAAAGAATGGAAGACAAAAGTAGCAACAAAGAATAAGGGCAATGAGTAGCAAACAGGAACAAGCATGATTGATATTAACCCAAATATATCAATAATCACTTTAAATGTCAATGATCTAAATACACTAGGTAAAATACAGAGATTGCTAGAGTGGGTCAAAAATAAGACCCAAATATGTGTTTTTTACAAGATACATATTGATTACGGAAAGAGATGGAGAATCCATTCTAACACTAATAAAAAGAAAGATAAATTAGCTATATTAATTTC